AACAAACCTTAGAGATATGTTGTTTGTGTATTTGTTTAGACTTTCTAATTTTATCATGTAAATTTTATTTTTTTGTTATAGACGATTAATTTTTTGAATAGATTTTTTTTTATATTTAATATGACTTCTATCCAAACAAAAATGAAATTATAAGCCTTTTGTTGCAAATATTTTGAAAAAATCTTGCCAGCTTTAGGACTGTTCTTATGTTTCATAAGATTTATTAATAATACTACAAGATTTAATTCACTATTGTCCATATTTTTAACTATATTTAATAAATTGCTCCACATTTCTAAATATTGTAGTTGAGTATATTGCTCTTGAGCAAGTTTCTTAATTATAGTTATAAATATAGTAAGTATTGGATCTGGCAGATTGATTGCATGTTCCATAAGGTTGTCAATTTTTTGTTGATAAATATCTATTTCTATATGTGTACTTGCTGGTATAGTCGATAAAATACTGTTATCACTGTCTATACTATTTTTGACAGTATTTTTTAGCTTGAGCTTTATTTTTTGAAAATTGACGTTGGTTGCATGCATATTTTAGATGATGCTGTTGTTTGGATTTTGTTTTAAATCATGGTATTTTCATATATAAAATTAATATTTTTTAATCTACATTACAAAGGTACAATTTTTGCACGAAATATACAATTTTTTTATACTATATTTTTTTTTAATCAATAGCTTTTATTACGTTCTTTTTGATAATAACCTTTGTTTTAAAGATTTTAATATCTTTATATTTTATTAAATTAAATAAAGTTCGCTTATATTGTTAAAAAAATTAACCACTCATATATGAAAAAAATCAAAAAATGATATTATTACAATGTTTAATACTAATTGTTATATCTTTTACAAAAAACTTAACTACAGTTGTTGTATTAGTTCTCGAGAAAACTGTACTAAAAGTTACTATTATCTGCAGTAAATTCAGATTTTCATAAAAAATTTTTGCATAAATGATTTTCATATATACTCTAACTAATGTTTGATTTAATTAGTTTGATGATCACCCTAATGTGGCATGTTCCTGTTTTATGATATGATAGGAATTAAGGGAAATACTATTTATTATATAATTTAAAGAGGTAGGAGGGGGAATAGTGGGTCTATCACATATTCATATATTGATCTAGATTAACTAATCAAAATGATCACTAGAGAGGGAGGGGTTCGACCTTATAATAAAAATAAATTATGTAATAAACTGCACTTCCCTAATCAATTGGATGACTTTTCAGTACAGTAATAGTATTACAAACTAGCAAAATTAGTATTGATATACTAGGAAATCAGAACACAGCCCGAAGAGAAATATGTGTAATGTGTGATCTAGATAGCTATCATGCATTCAGGTTTGCATAAATAGTT